GTGACCCAAGGGAAAGTGGAGTAGTGTTAAATACCCTAAATTAAAAAGGATAACTTCTTTTTTTCCTGCTGCAATTAATACTGTAGGAGCAATTACACAAAAAAGCTGAAGTGTGATAGGCATACAAACAGAAATAAGAAAACAAGCCGCCTGCTCTGGTATAATGTGTATAATGCTCTTATGGTTAGTAAAGGTATGGAGTCATTGGATCAACGATACATGGGTTCCTTTAAATCAGAGCTAGATAAGATTTTAACAACTCTGAGCTATTAGTTAAGTTCTCCCCAAACGAGCTTGATGGGCCGAATGGCCTCCTCTCGTTTGTAAATTTCTTATGTTCTTAAACAAAAGATATAGCTGACGCTGGAGTTGAAAATAATGAGACACTGGGGTTGTCAAAAATTGATTCTCAGATACTAATCGATATTAAAAATTAGTATCTGATTAGATACTCATTTTCACCATTATTGATACAAACAGTGCGGTTTTCACCTCATTCGCCACACTTCACACAACACCACTACAGCACGGGTGTGCATGCATGCACACACTCGCGCAGCCCCTCCCCTCCTCTCAATAGCCACTGAACACATTCCCGCTGGTTAACACACGTACCAAGTTGGCCGAACATCGCATATGCTGCAATTGAAGGCACTTCGCAAGCTGCTTCAGTAAAAAAAAAAAATGCAAAAGTGCCGTTTGGAAGTATTTTGCAGATGAGCATGTAAAGGCTAAGGATGTGGATAAGCCTCTATGCAAACACTGAAACAGTGCTACAAAGTTGTGGCGACGAAGTCAAGTAGCACGTCAAACCTGCCGAAGCATCTTAAAGACCAACATCCCGGTCTTTATGAGAAATTTCGCGAGGTCAATAACACTGAACTATTAAACACTTATCAAAAATGCTAACTTGGCCGGAGCACACCTTAATATTAGCCGCTTATCTATAAGCAGTTAGCCAACAAACACATTAGCCGTATGTTATCATTAAGGTAGCGAATAGGTGCAATGGCTAATAAAATAATATAGTTAATGTGGGAACAATGCAAAAATGTAAAACAAAAATGTGTCCTGTAAAATGTGGTAAACGCCCAGTCATACTTAAAAAAAAATATATACCATTGTATACCATGAAACCGATACAACTTTGAAAAATACCGCGCTGCAATTTTTTGGTCATACTGCGCGGCTCTACAAGACCTGATTTTTAGTTGTTGGACTTTCAGAATGATCTTCCTGAAGCATACATATTAACTCATAGGCAAAAGTGGATACTCATCTTTACCATCTGCACGGGTAGCTCCACAGCACTACAGTGTTTATGCTATAATTATATAAACCAATAAATGTAAAAAGCAATCCCTTTTGACAAGGCACACATATCAAGTACGCCTGGGTGCTATAAAACACATAATCAACTGTTTCATTCGGTAGTCACTAAAGGTCAATAGACACAGCTCTCCATTCAACTTGCAGAATAAATCTAATTTATTTATAAATATAAATTTATTTAAGACGAGCCAAAAAAAATTTGTTTCAGACGTTATACATCCAGACCTCAGATCTGTGTGGTTAGAATCTGCAGTGTCCAGCTTTAAAGAAGTTAGCATAAAGTACAGTGGTGAGTAAACTGACCTTCGCATGCATCTGTAAGTGTGTGAGTGAGACAGACAGACAGTAAGGACCCTATAACAGTTGAGAGCCTTCCTGTTACTGAACAAGAACTACATCACTGTTGAACGACAAACTCTCCTGGCTGGACTCTCTGCACATGCTACCAGATCCATCTAAAATCAGAGGTGGGAAATCTTATCTACTGCAGAAATGGCCTTGGTGTATGGAGGTTTTTGCTGCAACTCCCTAATTAGAGGACTGATTGGCTGAGAGTCATCACACCTGGGTTTGAACAACTGACATAAAGGTTATCCCAAAAACCTGCATACACACAAGCCTTCTGCTGATAAGATTGCCCACCCCTGATCTAAATGACACAAAATACAACAGCTTGTTTTATTTTCAGGGGTAGATCTCTCTCCTGACCTTTGCCCCCTACACAAAATACAGGCTTAGAGTTTGTTGGAATACCCTGGCCCATAAAACAATAAAGCTTAATGACAAAATGATCTGGAGAACACAAAGTTACTTCTACATTCCCAGCAGGCAGCTCTGTTTAAGAGCTGTTTGGTGATCAGTGGTGTCTCCTGTGGTACTATGTACAGTGCAGCCTCAGGTAGGGTTGCCTCTCATCCTTTATTATACAGGATCGACACAGAATTTCATTTTCTAATAATAGGACAATCCCATATTATAAGGGACGGGTTGCAGCCCTAACCTCAGGATAATGCAATTCAACAGGTAACCATGATAACTCCTACACAATAACTATGCATCTGGGGTCTGTATCACAATGCAGGATTTATTGTTTAGCCAGATGACTGATTTAAGTTACCCCAGTTTAAATGGATTTTATCTTCACTTACATTTAGCCCAGACTACTTCAAATCAGACAAGTTATCTGCAGTGTAGCCAAAGATTATTTGTACACTTCGAGGATATTGAACAACAAATTTAAAAAATGTTCTTAAATGTTACAATTATGTGTTAGTTATGTAAAGAAACAAGAAAAACTTTTATTCAAAACATATTCTGGAAATGTTTTCAAATTATTTATTGCCTTCAAACAATTATTTGTACACCTGGCTATTGGAGTTTTCTCGAAGTCCTGCTCAGTATTTGGTAGGCCCTCCTTTGGCAGCAATAACAGCACACAGCCTCTTGGGCATGGTTTCAGCAAGGGTGTTGCAAACGGCTAAATCAAGGCTCTCTGATGTGCGGTGGAGCATGTCTTTCAAATTCCGGACTTTGTGGGGGCCACTCAAGCACTTTCACCTTCTTCTTTGCGAGAAAAGGCTTTCATATGTTTTTGTGTACTTGGGGTCGTTATCTTGATGGAAAATGTAGTGACGTCCCAGCAATTTAGCAGCAGATGGGATCATCTGGGTAGACAGGATCTCAGAATCCATGATGTCTTCAATAAAATGCAAATAGCTGACACTGCAAGCTGCCATGCAACCCCAAACCAACACTCTCCCACCACCATGCTTGAAGGTTGGATTTAGGCACTCCTCCTTTGAGTTGTGCCATGCTCTCTGACCATACAACTGATTTCCAGATTGATTTCTCAACATGTTCTTTGGCAAATTTCAGATGTTTCAGTTTGTTCTTTTTACTTATAAATGGCTTCTTATGAGGAACCCTGCCATGCAGCCCACATTCGTTCAGCCTGCTCTTTATTGTTTGCGTGCAAACCTAAATTCCAGTAGCCTCCTTGACTTGCTTTGCTATTTGTGTAGCAATCAACTGTTGGTTTTTCATGGGAAGCTCATCGATGTACCTATCTATCCTTGGACTGGTCTTTCTTTTTCTCCATCTTCCCTCCAAAGTAAAGATTTCACCAATCTTCTTAAATTTCTGAATGATGTAGTGCACAGTAGTGAGCCTCATATCAAGTCTGGTGGCAATTTTTTGAACAGAAAGACGGTAGACCCCGACTGTGAAATTTTATGATTCTTTCTCTCAATACATTGGGTATTTCAGCAGTTTTAGCCATGTTGGGAAACACTTGAGTGGAGAATGACCACTAAGGCTACAGTACTTCTAGAAACAAAGGGCACCCAATTACCTGCCTATTTGGAACATCTGCTGTTTTATGTTGTGTTAAATGATCTTTACTGACTGAGAACTCCTCCCATTGTCACCTATACGAATGGCCAGGTGTACAAATAATTATTTGAAGGCAATAAATTACATAATTTGAATATGATTCCAGAATATGTTTGTAGAAAAGAAATCTTAATTCTTTAAATAGCACACAAATAATTGTAACATTTCTGACAGTTTCTAAAGTTTGTTCTTCAATATCCTCAATTTAATTTCCACTTTTGACCATTTTTTCATAGTGTACTAATAATTTTTGGCTATTCACTTGACACATGATACAGGCCCCTGGGCATATCTACATAATTAATTAACTCATTACTAAGACATAATACAAATATTGTCATATAACTATTGCTTGACAACTACAGAAAAATCCATCCATTTATACAACCATCCATCTGCCCATTATTCAGCCTGGTGCCCATTCCAGGGAGCAGAGGACACAAAGCAGGTGAACCCAATATGGCTATATTAAATCATCTCAATGGGCATAGGGTGGAATTAATGAGCATGGATTAACTGTTCACATGGATCATTGCCATTTATACACAAGAAACAATGGCTGTTAAAAATAAGGTGGGCTTCCAGATAATTTCAGATAATACTTTTGTTGCAAAAAAGGAATGAACCCATGCAAAGCACGGACTGATCCAGATACTTTGAAAGGACCAAACACTGCTCAACAGTTTTTTCCCACTAGAAAATTTGACACCCATTTATCATTTAGTTAACTTAATGTCAGTGACGTGTCCTTTTGTCCTTTAGGTGGCGTTTGTTAAAGAAACCGAGGACACCATTCCATATTCACGAAGGCAATAGTATATAATTCTGTTACAAGAAATACCCGCAGATACCTGAGTATGAGGCGCAGAGCGCTTCTGTAGGCCCTTAATATTGGAACATCGATTCATCGATCTGGAACGAGGACAGTTTGGTACAGGTGTTTAACCGGTAATAACCACGAGCCAGAAGGTACAACACATAGCCCAAAACACCTTTAATTTCTTTATCCACAAAATTTCGCTTTCTCCTTTGCTTAGGTGTAACACAGGCCACCGGATTTCATTCGACATAGAAGCAGCACATACAGTATAAACGCTAGATCTCGCTCGCAGTAAACGAACAGAACATCATCAGTCTCATAACCATTTTAGCTGTATCCGCTGATATGTACACGCAGAGTCAATCTCTGATTCCAGTGAAGAATTAAAAGCAATAGTGAATATTACATGAAATATTACGATCCTCAAAATCACCATTAATATTGTTGTTAGCTTTACCTCAATAGTCTTAATTCCGGAAAACGCGACTCTTCAACGAATGACACGTAGAATCGTTAAAAAAAAAACATGTTTTAGTTAGGTGTCAATCCTGAATGGTTTCCTGGTGTCTACTGACAGAGCTCAACATAGATATTCCATTTATATAACCTAAATATTTAGCATTTTTTATTTCCCCGGTGCATGCACCTAACACTAAAAGCGTCTCGTGCTTCAGCACTCCCACTTTGGTACGACAGCGCACGAGCATCGCTGGAGCTGCTCCCTTGTATCTCCTGCACCGCGTGATTTCACATCAGTGGAAACTTAAAGCGTGGCTCTGCTACTTACAAGATGTTGCGCACGGGTCTCTTTATCGTCATCGTATCATCGTTTTAGTTCAGAATTCGTAAAAAATAATATATATGCTTAATAAAGATCTTCCGTCCGTTACACCCCATTCATTCCACAGACAATACTGCCAACAGACTCATATCGCTGTGTACCACTCACTTCCTCATCCAATGAAAAGGCGTGCCTCGATGGCGCTATAGTATTTGAACCAATAGATGTGATATCACGTGACTCGTCTGCTTTTGTACTTTGAGTATCATCTATAAGCGGCAATACTGCTGTCTATGTAAAAAAATGTGTTGGCCACTGTATAAGGCCTTTTGAAATTGTGGTACTAACTGGGGTCATAGCACACTGAAGGTTGAAAAACTCTGGTTTATGGTTTAGTGACATTTTTGCAATTTTTCACATTTACTTTGATAAGATCTTTTGTGGTTTCAGTTTTAATATAGCATAGGGAAGGTAAATGAGGGAATAACATCACACTCCTGTTTCACACACACAAAACATTTTTGTTTGCCTTTTAAGGTAGTTAAACATGCAGTCTCAAGTATATGGAAAAAAAACACTACCCTCTAATTAACAGCTCAGATATACGGGATATCTTTGGAAAAATATCAGGCCTGATTTGGACTAATATAATTCTTGACCAATTTTTGGCTCTTTCTCCATTTTGAAGATACTGTATAGACAAGGAGAGGTCACCATTAATCAACTGGTTGATTGATTGATTGACTGATTTGTTGATTATATCAACAGATAGGTCACTGTGTGTATGAATGTGTGGCACAGTGTTGGCTGCCTTGTGCTCTTTGCTTCCTGAGATAGTCTGAAAGTTTCCTGTCACCCTGTCCAGCATAAACAGCTGGAAGATGGATAAAAAAGTCATTTGTGATGTGTGCAACAAGAGGAGGGCAATTACTGTTTAGACAGGCATTCATTTTCTGTTGACTAAATTAACCAAATCAATTATTTAAGTATTATAATTTATTTGTTCACTACTTCATATATAATATACAAGTCTCGTTTAAAGATGTGACAACATTCAGTATTACAATATGTAAACATCCCAGATCTGAGTAAACCTAGCTGAATACTTCATATGACTAGACCCAGCATCCCTTTTTACAGTCAGTATAACCGAAGTCTTTAATGAGCTGAGAGAGCAATAAATGCTACAGAACAAATTATTTTCATACATTCAAAGCCCAAAAGAAATGGCAGAAAGATTTGCATAAACTGAAACTGCTGACACTATTGTAATGATCTTAGTAGCCTTGCTAGAAGAATTCAGCTTATTGATGACAGAATTATGGACACTGACTCTTTTGTGTGAGACCCTGCTTACAAAACATGCCTTAGTGCTTACTACTTCTGCTCCTGGGGAGATGATTCTGTAGGTGTCAAACTGAGATGAAAAACTTTATTCAGTAACTTTGCAGAAAGAACTGTAAGGCCAATAGGCGGTTTCTCTGTATGTCCCTCTTTACATGTCATTTGCTTATGGTCTGACCTATAAGGCTAACATGAGGGTACGTGTGTTGCCTTTATAGGAGCAGACAGTGCAGTAATTGTAGCATTCTCCCCATGTTTGCATGAATGCTTATACATACAGTGGTTCCTATCTTCGACTTAGACTGCAATGGGGGTCTGTGTCAGTTGAGCGATGCCACATACAGGGTATTTGTAAAGTATGTATGTTATTCTTGTGCACTTCATGGGATGGATGTCTAAAATCCTTCCCCTAAAATTTGTGTTGTGAATGTTGTGCAAGTGATGCAATCCCATATAATTCAAAGTATACAGCTGCATAAAAATTTTTGAGACCACAGCACATTTTTTGTTTCATTCATCTCTCAATTTATGAGGATGCATCTGTGAATTTTTTTTACATATATTATATATATATATATATATATATATATATATAGCAAACTGCAGCCTGGTTTTTCTCTGTTTCTCATTGATGAACAGCTTCTTCCTTGCTTTATGGACCTTCAGTCCTGCTTCTAGGAGCCGGATACGAACTGTCCTAGCAGTGCACTTCACACCTGCACTTAGTGTTTCCCATTCCTTTTGAAGGGCACTTGATGACATACTATAATTCATGAGAAACTGTCGAATAAGTTACTGGTTATCTCTGATCTCTGGCATTAGAAAGTTGCTACCACCCTTTATCTGGCTGGTTTCTGGTTATTCCAGTGTTTCCTTCTTCACGTTATTCTTGTGTACTACGGTCTTAGAAATTTTGAACCTTGAGGCATCCTGCTGCTCAGTGCCAGCAGAACCAGGATTAAACCAGGATTTAAAAATGCAGAGTTGTTTGTTTTGTTTGTTTGTAAACAGTGGTCTCTTATCCTGCGGCTGTATGTACTGTCTCCTGAAACTGAGGCTGAAGCAAATTGATGTTCATGCATGAACAGGGGATCGGAAACTTTTTGTTGAAGGTGAGACACAGACTCTGCGAATGGCTTTAAAACTTCATAGAGTGCTCTACTGCCAACACCATGGACTTTGTGCATAGCATTGAGTCATTAGGCATGCATGGAATACACAGCGATTAGAACAGTGGTCTTCAACCCTGAATTTTTCCAACCCTTCAATCCCTGATAGTTGCAATCGACTAGGAATGTCTTTATGATCTTTATCGACCTTTTGGCAACCACTGATCTAGAAGGTAGGGGGTGTGAATAACTGACCAAATGGGGGAACAGTGTTCACAGACTGCTCCTTGTGTGACTGGGTTATTTTGTGTGTGCACTGTCATTGTCATGCTTTCCAGAGTATAACAGAAAAAGCTCATTAAATTTTTACCCTGTACAGACACAATACTAAGCTGATAACTCAATTCAATTTATATTGGAAGCTGGATGGATGGATAGAATTTAAAAAATTGTAACTTAGTGAGTAAACAAAATTTACTACAGTGCAGTATAATAAGTAAAGCTGTCTGTTTGGCAGGCTGGACTGAACCACATAGCATGGGATTGGGCAGGGAACAAGATCTTTATCTGAGGACTTGGAGAGACAATCACAGATAAAACCCTGGTCTGAAAAGACAAGATGCATACCTGGACGTGTGACATGCCCCAACATGGTGATAGTTACTTTTGAGTAGCTTTCCTGTTTGACTGACTACAGCAAGTTCATCTGACTCAGTATGTTACCCTACTGCCCCTAGTATTTGGGGACTATAAACATGTTAACTTTCAAAATGACATTGAGCACAATGACTCATCTTTAAAATACTGTTATATCCATGTTGAATTTCATTAATGTCTCGACATGGAGCTAGATATTATTAAGGAAATGCTACACAACATACATACGTATATATATATATATATATATATATATATATATATATATATAGACACACACATACACAAGCATACATACATACATACATCTTCTATACCCACTTATTCTATGCAGGGTCATGGCAGTCTAGAGTCTATCCCAGAAGCTATGGGTGCAAGGCAGGGAATAATCCTGGACGAGGTGCCAACCCATGACAATGACAACACACAAAATAATTAACCACATTTCTGCATTTGCAGGGCTCTAGACTGGTTGCATATATGACCTTTTATTGAGAGTGTGCGATATAAAATTTCACTTGGTCGCATCTGTGCCAGTGTGTGATTATCATTAGGATGTTTTGATCCTGCATGGGTTTTTTTTCTTCTTGCCTGGTTTAGTGTGTTTTTTATTTTTTGTTTCTTTTTACTGACTTGGTCTCAATGATCGGACTGGGGAGCACAGGACTGGGAGGCACTCTTATACACTATTGATGAGGAGCAAACAAGAGGCATCTTATTTCCCATAAAAGGTATTCCCTTCCTTGTGTCCTGTACTTGTTGAAGTAGACTCTGGGCTCCCCACGGTCTAGTAATGGATAAGCTGTTGGAAGATGAATGAATAATGTCTTTGTCAGATATTATTCTCTAGTTAGAAGAATCCTCTTAATAGTTACTGCAAAACATGTGATGACGTGTGTAAGCAGAGCAGCTGGCTGTGAATCGTCACCAGGACAGATTTATGTATGAGGGTGTGTTCCCCCTTACTCATCTATGGGACAGCACTACTGTAGTTTCACTTTCACTGCTTGAAGATGTGTGTCACATCAGAAACATCCCCATCTACTCCCATGACCCACATCAAGAGCTTGAGGGCTTTTTCTAGCATTGGGCTGCACAGCGGGGTTCAGCACTTGAGACTGAGCATTAATAATTTCATGATATTATCAGTAATCGATAATGATAAACAAGTAAGACAGTGTCAGTGTTTGACAGTGATTGACAGGTGATTATTGCCTTTGTCGGCTTTAAGCTCAGCCTTGTAACCTACGTTGCTGATGCTCTTTTTAAACATGGTTATTACAGCACAGCAGTAATGGTAGGACAATACTATATGACTGACAGTGAAGTTCTTCAGACATAAAAAGTGAAATTTTTAATGGACAAGTCAATCGTCAGATGGGAGTCATACTGAGCATACATATCACTTGTTGAACAGGAGAATTAAGGCAGAAAACCCAACTGACAAGCAGAGATATTTTAATGTTTATGCCCACATGCTGTTTGTCAAGCCCTGCCTGCCCCTCTCGTTCTCTCCCTGTTGCTTGTTTTGTCTTACCTCTTGTTTCAGCCCTTGCATGCATCACTCCAGCTACCTCTCGTCTGTTCCCTCGTTGCTGGTGTTATAAAGTGCTTCCCAGGCATGTGCTCCGCAGTCCAGTCATTGATGTTGCTACCTGTCTGCTCCAGAGTTTGTCCCGTGCTTTCTGCCCTATCCGAGCCTCATCTTCCCATTTTGACCTTTCGTGTTCTTTGTGTTTGTCCTGTGTTAGTTTTGGTTTTCCCTAATTAAAGTCCATTTCGTTCCTCCCTACACTCATCCTTGCCTCC